CATATAAACTTCATTTTACTTCTCAAATATCACTGTTTGTTCTCTATATGATATATTTAACTGATGTTTTTAATCCAAACAATCAATGATTTATAAGGTAAATCAGGAACATTAACAAGGCTGCTCAAACTTTCACAGCCCACTGTATGTTGGTTAGGACCATCACCAGTGATCACCTGTGCAACAGCAGGTGTTTAGTCAGTTGTTTTGCTTTGGACCAGGCTGGTGTGTGTCCTGCAGCCATCAGCGACAGAAACAACTCTTTGTGCTCATCAGTCTGGGCAGGTTAAAGACCCCTCTGTAGAAAAAGACACAAATATTTTCACCAGTGTGAAACACTGCAGACTGCCCCCAGCAGGGGATTTTCCTTCACCTTCTTCCAAACATCAGAGCGTGCAGTGCTCCAAGGAATCCAGCAGAAGAAGATCTACTTATCAGAGTCATTTCTCTGCAAACCTCAATGAACTGATGCAACGCTGAAAAGAAGAGTGGGACGAGACTCAACACTAAACAGTCGTACATAAAATCTGCTGAGTGTTGTTGCTGGTGCAGGAGGCTCTACGAGCTGCTGAATCATCGGCTCATACACGTGTTAGGGTTAGTTAGTTAGAGTCTGGTTAATTTCTTTGTCTTAAATCAGAAAACCTAAAGCTAAAAGAGGACTGGACCTTCTTTTTATAGCTGCATGTGGTAAATCTGAAAAACAAACACAATAAATCCCAAATGAGTCTTTTCTTCTTCAGGTGCTTCTCTCTGTAAGCCTCTTGTCACAAAGGCAGCAGACAGTGAAGGTGCAGGAGTGAGTGTGAGCTGCAGGTTGTTTCCTGTTCTGCTCAGATTGTATCTTGTATGGTTTCATCACATAACTGAGCTTTAACTCATGCAGCAGGGCTGTTTGAAGGGACTTCTTCCTGTGTGTTTGTAGTGTATGCTGTTAAAACAACACAGTGTTTGCTCTACGTCTTCCTGTCATCATGAAACATTGAGCTGTAACATGCTCACACATGATTCAATTCAAAAATACTTTATTTATCGCAGAGGGATATTTCAGTGCAGAAAGACTTTTAATAATATGTATTCAGTCACTGAATATTTGCAGCTGTATGACTGTTTCATGTTGTGTGGGTTTGTCCTTTTAGGCCCACCCAGACGTTGAAGTGGACATTTACGAGCGGCTGCCGGTCCCCTTTGGACTGGTCAGGTTTGGAGTGGCCCCCGATCATCCTGAAGTCAAGGTGTGCTCTGCTTCCTCTGTTTGTTCAAGTCTTTTCAAATAAGGAAAACAAACCTGTGTTTCTTTATTTTTTTTCTTCATGAGCTAGGATGTAGTTATTACACAACCTGTTGATGGACTGGTTTTAACAGAATGGTGATGGTGAAACTGGGAATGCAGAACAGATCCCACACAGCAAACAAACCGTAAACGTTCCAGATAACGACATGTTTTAAAGTGAACAAACAGGCTAGTTATCAATGAAGCATGGATAGAAACATTTTGTAGGATGCCCCCCCCCCACACACACACACACTTTGTAATATTGTGTAAACACAAAAGGATGACAATGGGCCTCATGTAAGAACATGTTCGTGTTCTTATCCTACATTTCTCTTACTTTTTTACATATGAAGGGTTCGTACGAACCAGGGTTATTACAGTTAACTAAAACTAGCTAAATAACCAAAACTGAAATTGAAAAAAACATTTTAGTTAACTGAAATAAATAAAAACTGTAATAAAATGAAAAAGAAAACAATAACCAACTAAAACTGTATAATCTTTTTACAAAACTAACAGAATAATAGATAGAATATCCTTAGTTTTAGTGTTTGTAAGTTTATTTTGAGCCGTGTGGACTGATTAAACTAWTTTTTTTCCTTTAAATTAAGCAGTTTCCCATTAACTGTGGGCAGCTTACAGCACATCARGGTCTGTAAAACACAGGAACATCACAAGCTGGATGTTACATTGGCAAATATGTTTATTCAAACTACAAAAAAACTAACACTAGAACTAAATAAAACTAAACTATAATGAAAAATCCTAAACTATTATAACCTTGGTACCAACATGTCACGTCAGATTAAACAAACTCTTCTATCTTCAGGAAAAGTGTATAAATGAGCTGTGTAAACTGATGAATGTGTATCAGGTGTTCGAGGAGAGGAGATTAGCATAATTACCACCCTAAAAACACCATATAAGGCTGTGTTTCCTGCCTCAGATACCAGGAAGTGTCCATTCATAAATGACATCACAAAGTAAAAGGGATCCCTGATTAGTTGTAACAGTAGACTTTATTTAATAATTACATATTTTAACTGTAAAATAAAGATTGTAAAAATACTGTAGATTGTTTAGTTTTTATAATTTTTAAACTAAAAGTTTAAAAATAAAATTAAAATAAAATAAAAACATGGATGGAGGACCTCAGTTTAGCTTGTTTGTCGCGCTAGTGCTGAGCTAATACATATAAGGCAATATAGCATCAGTGCTAGCACAAAGGCTAACAGTCTAATCTGAGGTTGTTCTTCCATGAAGCAGCTCTGTTGTCCTCCATCCATATTTTCAGTTCCAGGCTGAGTCATTTCTACCTTCTCCTCTCTGTCAACGCTCTCTGGTTTCATTTAAAAGAGTCGATCATCAGATATTGTCCAAGATTAACCTTCAGGGTGGATATAGCTCGCTAGCAGCCTCGCACCGAGGACCTATCCACGTCATCATTTACCCAGAATGCTTTGTGTGCAAATAAAATGGCTCTGTCCGTGTTACATATTTTTAAACTTTTAGTTTAAAAATGATAAAAACTAAACATCCTACAGTATTTTTACAGTCTTTATTTTACAGTTAAAATAAATGTTTATCAAATAAAGTCTAATGTTAGAACTAATCATGGATCCCTTTAAAAAAGAACTTTATGAGTTCASAGYTTGAAGTTCTGCTCTCAGASATCCAGAAAAGAAAACCTGTCATTTTTAGCAGGTCAGCTGTGGAATTAAAGGAGCTGCTGAAGCTGAGGAATGAAATGTTCTGTTAATGTTGTGCCTCCTGTGGGTCATATACAGACACAGAYATAACTATCTAAATCATATTTATCTCTCTCTAGTCCTGCTCCGGTTTTCTTTGGTCAAATATTTTTATTTTCAGTGTAAACGACTGTGTTACATAGTTTACATTTCAGAAGAAAAGCCACTGTCACATGGTGCGATGCATGATTTGTGTTGTTGCCATGCTGGCTGACCTGTCTACAACCATCTTCAGGGGAAAAGGCTTTCATTCAGGATTAGAATATTTCCCAGTGCATGACCCTGTTTATTTAATGAGATGTTGACCTTTACCTTCAACAGAAAAAACACATAATGTTTCCTCCTCCATGCTTGACAGTGGGGGGTGTTGTTTTATGACTCATGCTCTCTCTTTTACTAAATACACCAGGTTTAGTTGATGTCCAAGTACATTTGGTTTAAACTGACCACAGCAGTTTTTCTAAAGCCTTCTCTGAATCTTTCAAATGTTTACTTGCAAATGTAAGATTTGTGTACCCACTTAGTCTTCAGCCTAGAGAAGAGTATTGTTCCGGTGGTCCACATGGGCCTGTACATGTCTTGAGCAGGGGATCCTGCAGGGCTTCAGTCCATTACAGCACAGTGTGTTGGTTTCTCTGCTCTTCCTGTGTAACTGTGGGCTGGTTTCTCACGCTGGTCTTCACCACCCTCAGCTCACAGAAGAGATGTCATGAAGCACCACACTGAGGGTGATTGATGGACATTTTTATTGATTGATTTCCTTTATGAGAAATCGTGCCACACCTTCCACCAAGCTTCTTGCTGATGGTCTTGGAGCCCAGTCCAGCCTTGTGGACTGTCTTTTCTCTAATGTCCTCTGAAAGCTCTTTAGTCTTAAGTTGGTGGAGAGGTTGGAATGGAAGAACTGGTTCCATGGACAGGTGTGCTTTGTACACAGGTTAAAAACAGGAGTGTCTGGAACTGATTGATTGTAAAATATGTGTCACATGGTCACAAACCAATCTGTTATATTCAGAGCTTTCACTTCAGTTGTAGAGGATCAACTTACTGACATGCAAATCAATTTGTAACATTTAGTTACTGTGATTTTTCACACTTTTTGTTAGTCTTTGGTCTCTTTGCAGTAAAATTAAATGTAATATGTTGAAAAACTTAATTTTCTTTTATTGCAAATTTGCAAAATCAGTGAGGTTATTTACCCCACTGTAAATAGAGATACGATAAAACCATCAAGTGGTGGACCTTAGATCCAGTTCTTAATGCTTTGTACAATGTCTTTGTATTGAAAGGTTGCAAAATGGTAGGACTACTGAAGTTTGTGAAAGGGATCTAGAATTGAACAACTTAAAGGAAGTAACATATTTTACCTGTTTGGGAAGTAGGATCAGACATTTCTTTCTATTTATGACTGTCCCGTCAATCAGGTACTTAATTATACTCCGTCTCGTAAAACATTGAGCAGTATGTGGCACATTTTACAACGAATCCCAACGACTATAATTATGACTCTGTAAAACAAATCACTGGTATTTCTGTCCACTCTTCAAGACACAACTTCATTTTCATTTTTGGTGATGTGTGACATAAACTAATCTTTAAATCATTCCTCAAATTCTTCATTTGATTGAGGCCTGGGTTTTGATGAAAATACACAGACTTTTGAATGTCTCCCTTTACACAAACAAGTGTTGCATAAGAAATGAGGAAGGATTAACCTTCCTCCAGAGCCTGACGATGATGARGACAAACACCACACAAGGTGTCTGTGTGTGAAGAATTGCTATAGAGCAGGGAGTGTTTGTTGTTTTCTCCAAGATTGAAACAGTGTTTTTCTCAAAAATGTACCTATTTTTGTACCATTCATCATCATTCATCATTCTCTAATTCTTAGCAAATACATGTGCTGGACGTTTTTGACTCTAAGCTCCATTATAATGTTTTTATGTAATTTAAAGGGATCCGTGATTAGTTGTAACATTAGACTTTATTTAATAAACATTTATTTTAACTATAAAATAAAGACTGTAAAAATACTGTAGGATGTTTAGTTTTTATCATTTTTAAAAATACATTTTAACAC